TTACATTCATAGGGTAACTTAATTCACTAGGGATAGGCCTAATTAGGCCTGTTCCTGGCTCAAAACTTTCCTTGGAAACCCAATTATTATTACAATAAAAAGTGCTAACACACAAGGGTCATACTGCACTGTCTAGAAACCCATTATCTAAACTTAAGGTCAAACACAAACAGTCTCTAGATGTTTACATACATAATTTTTACCAGCCTTCTAAGAGAGCCCAATAATAATAATAATATCTTTATTTCTACAAGTACTGAACATGTACAACTTATACAGACCATAGCTGACATCAATGACATACTACTATACAGAAAGCCACTTATTATGTAGAGCATTTCCTGCAAATTAGGTCAGTTTTGTCCCAGGATGTGACCCACACCAGTCCACTAACACCCAGGATGTGACCCACACCAGTCCACTAACACCCAGGATGTGACCTACACCAGTCCACTAACACCCAGGATGTGACCCACACCAGTCCACTAACACCCAGGATGTGACCCACACCAGTCCACTAACACCCAGGATGTGACCCACACCAGTCCACTAACACCCAGGATGTGACCCACACCAGTCCACTAACACCCAGGATGTGACCCACATCAGTCCACTAACACCCAGGATATGACCCACACCAGTCCACTAACACCCAGGATGTGACCCACACCACTCCACTAACACCCAGGATGTGACCCACACCAGTCCACTAACACCCAGGATGTGACCCACACCAGTCCACTAACACCCAGGATGTGACCCACACCAGTCCACTAACACCCAGGATGTGACCCACACCAGTCCACTAACACCCAGGATGTGACCCTCACCAGTCCACTAACACCCAGGATGTGACCCACACCAGTCCACTAACACCCAGGATGTGACCCACACCAGTCCACTAACACCCAGGATGTGACCCACACCAGTCCACTAACACACAGGTACCCATTTTATACTAATGGGTGAACATGGACAGCAGGTGTCTTACGGAAACACTTCGCTAATGTTTTCCAGCCGTACTGGAGATTCAAACTCCAGACCTCAGTGTGTGAGCCGAGTGCGCTAGTGTTCGAGCTACGTCTGACTTTTTTGGGTTATCCCAGGTTCTCTACACACATGCTGCTATATATGATAATCTATGTAACTGTATTTGTGTATACCTGAATGAGCTTGCTTATATTCCAGGTTAACCTCTGGAGCTATCTATTCTGTATAACCTTTCTGTCACGATTCTGGAAACACCCCTGCCACAATACAAATTATTTTTAAACACGATACATCGTTCATACAGCAATGGGTGATTCTTTGGGTCATGTCGAAAGCCCGTAGCTGGGTTGGTAGTGCACTCAACTCACACACTGAGGTCCGTGGTTCGATCCCCGGTATGGCTGGAAACATTAGGATGTGTTTCCTTAAGACACCTGCTTCTCATGTTCTCCTAGTAGTGAAATAGGTACCTGGGTGTTAGTTGACTAGCATGGGCCACATCTTGGGGGACAAAATTTATCCAATTTGCAGGAAATGCTCTGCATAACAAGGGACTTTCTATATAGTAGCATGTCACTGATGTCAGCTATGGTCTGTACAAGCTGTATCATGTACTATGGTCAGTATAAGTTATGGAAACAAACACATGCAAGCTACCCAAGATTTTAGACTCTATAACCCCACCCGGTAGATCATCAGATGCAGCATCTCCACCTGACCTCAGCATTCTGAACCTGACTATAAATACTCACGTACCTTCCACCCCAGGTAGATCTGTGTGTGACTTGAAAAAGCCCACTGTGTGGGCAAAACGTTGTCAATAAAGGATCACATTATACTGTATATATGTTTATGTTTCCATTGTGTCGGTATTTTATACCATTTATTTTCTTCAGTATAAGTTATATCATGTACGTACTTGTAGAAATAAAAATTTTCATCATCATCATTGAGGAAACGGTACCTCCTACTCAATGGATTCTCTTAATCAAGGAAAAATGCTAAACCCATAGCAGGGTCACATAACACCTTATTCTCTGGATTAACAGCACCAAGTTCAGATGGACTTCCAAACAGTATAGGCACTGAACTTCCCACCTCTAGGACTCAAGGGCTTCCAAGGATGGAGCTAATGGAAAGGTACATCACATTTCTAGAATCAAGACCCCTTTACTAGCATCAGGGAACCTATCTTGAGGGACATGAAGCATTTGACAGTGACTTCTCAGTTAAGTCAAGAACTTTCATTATACAAAAATAATCCGCACATTATTGTACAGCCTCTCCTCACTTAACGACAAAGTTGTGTTCCTAAGACAACGTCGGTAAACGAATTTATCGCTAAGCAAGGAGCATACTATAATGGTAGTGGGTTTCTGTCAACCATCAAAGATGGTTGATAGAAACCCACTACCGTTTATAACATTTCTGGTATATTTTTAAATGTTTATACAGTAGTGTACTGTAAAGTGTAATAAACAGAATAGAAGAAATCAGCTCTAATATACATTATTTAGGTAGCACACAGGTCAGAGAGCCCGTCGTAAGTCCGAGTTGTTGGTAAACAAGTATGTAGCTAAGTGAGGAGAAGCTAACCAGTCACGATACTGTAACTTTTTACTCTATATCAGCAGCACTCAACCCATGTGGTTCACTCAGCATCAAGAGAGACACCCAAGACTTACTATACAACCCGAACATCAGCACCAGCAGGCCTCCAGCAGCAACAGCCTGGTTGACCAGGCAAGCACCAGACAAGCCTGGCCCATGGCCAGGCTCTTGAGAGTAGTGAAACTCGAAACTTTTCAAAGGTACATCAGATGTACCAAGTATCATGATAGCACTTACATGAGAACTTTTACCATCTACCATTTATGACCATGTGTTTATGACAGTAAATACATTTCCTTTTTTGGGTCACCCTGCCTTCTTAGCACACGTCCAATGTGCTTAACAAATTGGGTTAAGCCCTTTTGTTACTGTAGTAATAATATGGTTCTATATTTTAAGGCAGGGTAACCTAAAAAATAACACTTTCACCATTATACACACTATCACTGTCTTGCCAGAGGTACGCAGATACGACAGCTCAGATGGACTTCCAAACAGTGTAGGCACTGAACTTCCCACCTCCAGGACTCAAGTCCAGCTAACCGGGTTCCCTGAATCCCTTCACAAAATATTACCCTGCTCACACTCCAGTGGCCTGGTGGCTAAAGCTCCCGCTTCACACACGGAGGGCTCGGGTTCGATTCCCGGCGGGTGGAAACATTTCGACACGTTTCCTTACACCTGTTGTCCTGTTCACCTAGCAGCAAATAGGTACCTGGGTGTTAGTCGACTGGTGTGGGTCGCATCCTGGGGGACAAGATTAAGGACCCCAATGGAAATAAGTTAGACAGTCCTCGATGACGCACTGACTTTCTTGGGTTATCCTGGGTGGCTAACCCTCCGGGGTTAAAAATCCGAACGAAATCTTATCTTATCTTGGCTTATCAAGTCCCAAAACCCATTTGACATTAATAAAAAATATATTCTTAAACAGCCTTTTTTGATGCAAACATCAAAAACCAAAATGCAAAAGGAAAAATAAAACAGATTATTGATTCAAAAATCTTTCAGATATATTAAGATACCTCCCTCAGTCTTAAATGGCAAGGAAAGACCAGCAAGGTAGACTAGAGACATTATTTAGGTTATGCAAATAAGCCTTTTTTGTAATAAAGTTGGTAGAATTACCGACAATATGTAAAGTAAAAGGACACAAGTGCAACTAATGTGACATTTATTGTGGCAACGTTTTGCTCTCCAGGAGCTTTATCAAGCCATTAATGGCTTGATAAAGCTCCTGGAGAGCGAAATGTTGCCACAATAAATGTCACATTAGTTGCACTTGTGTCCTTTTACTTTACATAAGCCTTTTTTGTAAATAACATTCATTTTAGTATCTCTACATTCATTTTGCATATTTTACAATTCAATTTTGTGTGGGATATCACTGGTATTCAGAAGCCATGAAATAATGCTGGAGTCACTGTCTTTAATGAATTCTTAATGGGGTGGATCACAAACACTACAGGTGCTTCTCATATACCCTGGTCCACACTTTATGATGTAACTCATGACTGTGTCAGGAGCCTGCAAGCACACGTTCACTCAAATACGCACACGTTCACTCAAATACGCACACATTCACTCAAATGCACACACATTCACTCATAAACACAAACACATACACAAGCGCACACACATGCCTGCACATGCTAACAGGAAGCAAGCATGCACACGCAAACGACAAGCACACATGAACACGCAAACAGCAAGCGCACACGCATGCACGTACATACATGCATACACTATTAAGTCTTTGTCAGCCATTTTTTAAGGGAATGTGTAAAGTAACTGGAATTTTAGTGTAAATAGTGAAAGGTCAGACAACAGTTAATATTTCAGCATCAAAACTGATGACCAACAACTATTCAACCTTCTATCACCAGCTACCAAAAATACAGATGGAATAAATGAAGTAGACTATAATAGACAGAAAATCCTTGACAAGTACTCACATATATGTCAGTTATTTGCTTACAAAGAGAACACGTAAACACTGAAGACCTAAGAAAAACTCTACCATGAGCGGGAATTGAACTCGTGTTGAGTGAGTTGGAAAACTCCAGGCCAGCATGTAAGCCACTGGACCAGCTGGCTACAATAGCCAGATGGTCCGGTGGCTTACGTGCTGGCCTGTATTTTTATGACTGACTCACCACAAGTTCAATCCCTGCCTGTGGTATGGTTTGTTTGCAATCGTGTCATTATGATTTTGAGTCAGTCAAGACCTGTTAGAAGAGTAACAGCAATTTCAGAAACATTGCCTGATGTACTTCTATTTTCTAATCCAATATGAGAACATTTTCAATATACACGTGCTCCTTGACTTACATGTTTGTGATGAATGGTTTTGAAAACCGATTTGTATTGGACTGATGAAGCCACTGTGTGGCGAAACGTTTCTTCAGTAAAGATTCCCATATGTTGCATAAGTGTCTCAATTCTTCGACTTATATGTTCTAATGAACCCACTGTAAGTCAAAAATATCTTAAGCCAAATATGAATGTATGATCAATAAGTAAATAAATACAGTGGACCCCCGGTTAACGATATTTTTTCATTCCAGAAGTATGTTCAGGTGCCAGTACTGACCGAATTTGTTCCCATAAGGAATATTGTGAAGTAGATTAGTCCATTTCAGACCCCCAAACATACACGTACAAACGCACTTACATAAATACACTTACATAATTGGTCGCATTTGGAGGTGATCGTTAAGCGGGGGTCTACTGTACTGTCACTGATTCAGTAAATAAACAAATATTTACTGTAAATAAATACCAGTATTGAAAAGTCAATAAATGAATACAAGTTAAGGACTTGCTGCCTTCATGTTGGGTAATTATCTTAAGTTTCATCCCCAAAGTAATTGTTGCAGCACCATTGTAAAGTTGAAATGTCGTAAATCAAACCATGGTAAGCTGAGGAGCCCCTGTACCTCTCTCTTTGGTTTCTTACGACTAAAATACCAGTAGAGGAGTTGAAAAATTCTAATGCACCTAGTTCAGTTGGGTTACAGTTGGGTTACAGTTGGGTTACAGTTGGGTTACAGTTGGTGCCTCTGATGGAAGGTTGGGCTAGGTTAGGTTTGTCAGGAAACAGGATAAGTATTTCCTGAGATGGGTCTTAGTCAGATGATGACCCACAGCTGGAGCTTTTGGTCATCTGACTGATGCCTTCCACTGGCTTTCCAGTCAACCCCTTTAAAAATTATGGTTATGATTATAACCATTATGTGACTTCCTCTGATGGAATACAGTGTGTATCAGCTCCAATTCCTTTCTATTAGAGGCCGTAGGTTAGTCTAGATGGTAGAGCGTTCAATTGTCAATTTATAGACCGTAGTTCGTTCTACAAGCACTGCCTTCAATGATCCACTATGTACTCAAAGTTACTCAACAAAATCAATTAGCTATGGTAACCAAGTATGGTTTGATCATATTAGAGTAATGGAGGGAAATATCACTTGTGCAGTATCTACTGCATTGTGTCTGTGTTTTGTATATATTCTTTCTTCTTTCAACGTACCAGGCGTATCCCACTTAGGTGGGGTGGCCCAAAAGGAAAAACGAAAGTTTCTCCTTTTAAATTTAGTAATAGTATATACAAAAGGGGTTACTAGCCCCTTGCTTCCGGCATTTAAGTCGCCTCTTATGACACGCATGGCTTACGGAGGAAGAATTCTGTTCCACTTCCCCATGGAGTTTTGTTTATATGTATGGAAGAAATCACAATAAATACGTGATTGCAAATACAGTGGAACTTCAGTTTTTGTATGTCCCAGCTTGCGAGTAAAACCATAGTTATTCTCCATAAAATGTATTTTTTTTTAATATTTTTGGGTGTCTGGAACGGATTAATTGGATTTTCATTATTTCTTATGGGAAATATCAAAAAAATACATTTTATGAAGAATAACTGTGGTTATATGTGTATGCTTCTGAACTGTTGTATTCTGAGCACCTCTGCAAAAACAGTGATAATGTGAGAGTGTGGTGAAAGTGTTGAATGATGATGAAAGTATTTTCTTTTTGGGGATTTTCTTTCTTTTTTGGGTCACCCTGCCTCGGTGGGAGACAGCCGACTTGTTGAAAAAAAAAAAAAAATGTGCAAGCTGGGGCATACGGAAAACAAGGTTCCATTGTATATAAAAATACCAAAATAAAAATAGGAAAAACACCTGAGAACTTTCATGTGCTTACACACACATACCTTCAGATGTTTTACTTATTTTCACTGTGGTATTTAGACGTGTCAGCGGATGGGTCTATGAAAGATGAGGTGAATCATAGAATTGATGAGGGGAAAAGGGTGAGTGGTGCACTTAGGAGTCTGTGGAGACAAAGAACTTTGTCCTTGGAGGCAAAGAGGGGAATGTATGAGAGTATAGTTTTACCAATGCTCTTATATGGGTGTGAAGCGTGGGTGATGAATGTTGCAGCGAGAAGGCTGGAGGCAGTGGAGATGTCATGTCTGAGGGCAATGTGTGGTGTGAATATAATGCAGAGAATTCGTAGTTTGGAAGTTAGGAGGAGGTGCGGGATTACCAAAACTGTTGTCCAGAGGGCTGAGGAAGGGTTGTTGAGGTGGTTCGGACACGTAGAGAGAATGGAGCGAAACAGAATGACTTCAAGAGTGTATCAGTCTGTAGTGGAAGGAAGGCGGGGTAGGGGTCGGCCTAGGAAAGGTTGGAGGGAGGGGGTAAAGGAGGTTTTTGTGTGCAAGGGGCTTGGACTTCCAGCAGGCATGCGTGAGCGTGTTTGATAGAAGTGGATGGAGACAAATGGTTTTTAATACTTGACGTGCTGTTGGACTGTGAGCAAAGTAACATTTATGAAGGGATTCAGGGAAACCGGCAGGCCGGACTTGAGTCCTGGAGATGGGAAGTACAGTGCCTGCACTCTGAAGGAGGGGTGTTAATATCGCAGTTTAAAAACTGTAGTGTAAAGCATCCCTCTGGCAAGACAGTGATGGAGTGAATGATGGTGAAAGTTTTTCTTTTTCGGGCCACCCTGCCTTGGTGGGAATCGGCCAGTGTGTTAATAATAAAAAATAATAATAATGTACATGTGTATGTATGTATATATTATGTCTAGATATGTATTTCTATATGACTAGTATATATATATACTCTATATACATTTGTTTTTCAACTTAATGGCTATCTCACACCAAGGTAAGGTGACCAAAGAAGAAAACACGTTCATCAACATCCAGTGAATCACTATCTTTCCACAAGTGTGTTGACACCACAATCAGACTACCCTGCGACTGCAACATTTCCACTCTGCCTTCGGAGTGCAGACACTGCCCTTCCACGTCCAGGACTCAAGTCCGGCTAACCACTTTCCCTTAATCCCTTTATATAGGTTACCCTGCTCACATTAAAGAATACTAGTATCTACTGACTCCTATCTAATACGCTTACTCAAACCTGTTGGATGCTTAAGCCACTTAAAATTAAAGCCTCCTGTACCCCCTCCCTCCAATCATTCCTAGAATTACATCCGTTCTCTCATCTTCCACTTCATATTTATACACCCTCAATATCAACCAATCCCTCTCCATTCTCTCTACATGCCTAAACCACATCAATAACCCCTCCTCAGCCCTCTGAATTATACCCCTGGGCACCACGCATTGTTTTTAATCCAACAAATAAACACATTCACCAGCATTCGTCTAAAAGGTGTCTTTTCAGAAATGTACAGACATTACAACTGCTACAGTAGGACGACTCAATGAAAATATGTATTCAATTACCCATTCAATAGCTGTCTTGCCAGGCATGCACACACACATCAAATTAAAATGAGCCAACAAGTTATGTTCTCACCTATTAAGTTTTAACCTATTTCTCAATTTATTAATAATTCATCTTAAAAACAAACTTACATATTCTGTACAGACTTCAACAAATCATTTGTCTTTAATAAAATTCAATAGAAGTAGCATCCAAATTAGACACGTTTGAAAGTGAAGCTAATCATTTCTACTTCGTAAATTACGACTACTCCATGAATTACATAACTAACATTTTTAACAAAATAAATTGCATCTGCAGCAGACAAGAACAAATAATAACCTCAACTCTGAGATGTTATCAAGTGCTCAATAATAACAGAGATAGGCAGAAACTCAGATCTGCTGAAGAGGACCCCAGAAGGGGGTTGAAATATAGAGGTCAATTAATCTCCTGTGTTTCTGTCTCCATATGAGTTATTATTGAGCACTAACAAGTGTTCATTGTACGTACTTTAGTTATATTATCAAGTATTAATCCCATTGATGTAGCCTTCAGCATAAGTTACATTACACTCATAACATTCAAGTCATCAACACAAATTACACATTATTATTACATTTATTGTCAACCACAATATTGTTTTACATACTGGCCATTACACATCAAAGTAGGGCGAGTCAAAGAAACACATTCACCATCACTCTGGCAGTCTTGCTCCATTACCACGTGAAAATTATATACAACAAACCGTAGTCACCATTACACATTCACTGGTTGTCTCGCCACATTACCATGTGCAGATTACATCAATTAAAACACTCATATTCATTCACAGGCTCTGAAGCCACATTACGTGTAGATAATATTATTAGATTGGTGCTGCTGCTCACAACCCCTTGTTGAAGTACACTGACTGTGGTACACCCTCACTACACTTTGTCTTCAGTGTTGCAAAGGCGTCTGGCTCCAGCTGGGCTAATGTAGATGTACTGATTGCACTGAAAATACAAAAACATTACTGTATACAACAAAAATTATGCTGCAACGGCAAGAAAGATTCAAGGATTTTGATAAAGTCAAGACACAAGTCTGGCCTTGCTCAGGTCTGTGGGAAGAGAAAATTCTACGACACCTTTCTGAGGTACACGGGATGTCATTAAGATACTCAAGGAACCTATACAGATTATCTCAGTTCAGTATTATTCTCTTTTAACACACCACCCATCTCCCACTGAGGTACGGTCACCCAAAAAAGAAGCACTTTCATTATCACTTTTGCCAGAGGTGTGTAGATACTACAATTCAGATGCACCTCCAAACTGCAGATGTCCCCACACCACCTTCAGAGTGCAGGCACTGTACCTCACACCTCCAGGACTCAAGTCCAGCTAACCGGTTTCCTCGAATCACACTCCAACAGTACGTCAAGTCATAAAAACCAATTGACTCCAATCACTCCTATCTAACACACACACACACACACATGCCTGCTGGATGTCCAAGCCCCTCACATACAAACACTTCCACTTTTACTATTATTCACACCATCATTGTCTTGCCAGAGGCACGCAGATATGACAGTTTAGATGTCCCTCCAAACAGCAAATATTCCTCTCTCCTAGATGCCCTAACCAGGTTAATTTTTTTTTCAACAAACCAGCTGTATCCCACTGAAGCAGGGTGACCTAAAAAGATAAACACAAGTTTTTCTTTTTTTTTCAACAAGTCAGCCGTCTCCCACCGAGGCAGGGTGACCCAAAAAGAAAGAAAATCCCCAAAAAGAAAATACTTTCATCATCATTCAACACTTTCACCTCACTCACACATAATCACTGTTTTTGCAGAGGTGCTCAGAACACAACAGTTCAGAAGCATATACGTATAAAGATACACAACATATCCCTCCAAACTGCCAATATCTTTTTATATTTAGCATGAGCGTGTTAGATAGGAGTGAATGGAGACGAATGATACTTGGGACCTGACGATCTGTTGGAGTGTGAGCAGGGTAATATTTAGTGAAGGGATTCAGGGAAACCGGTTATTTTCATATAGTCGGACTTGAGTCCTGGAAATGGGAAGTACAATGCCTGCACTTTAAAGGAGGGGTTTAGGATATTGGCAGTTTGGAGGGATATGTTGTGTATCTTTATACATATATGCTTCTAAGCTGTTGTATTCTGAGCACCTCTGCAAAAGCAGTGATAATGTGTGAGTGTGGTGAAAGTGTTGAATGATGATGAAAGTATTTTCTTTTTGGGGATTTTCTTTCTTTTTTTGGGTCACCCTGCCTCGGTGGGAGACGACCGACTTGTTGAAAAAAAAAAAAATAAAAAATTTAGTAATTTATACAGAAGGGGTTACTAGCCCCTTGCTCCCGGCATTTTAGTCGCCTCTTACAACACGTATGACTTACAGAGGAAGAACTCTGTTCCACTTCCCCATAGGTTTTGTATCAGGTTATATAACCTTTTAATTAGTGAATATGTTCGTTAACGGTTTCTAAGATACACTGATACTGCACTTTACCCAATTTGTTACCTGATAGAAGTGTCACCTGAGTGCAAGCCAGTGAGAAACATTTCACATTTATAACAGTGACCTTGACTCAATCTAGAAGGGCAGTAACTTACACCATGATTTAATTTTTCCTGAAGGAGGGCTGGGAATATTTGCAGTTTTGAACTGTAGTGTAGGCATGCCTCTGGCAGGGTGTAAGTGAATGATGGTGAAAGTTTTTCTTCTTTTTTAGGTCACCCTGCCTCAGCAAGAACAGATATATTGAAAAATATTCTTTTTCTTTGTAGGTAGTAGGTTGGTAGACAGCAACCGCCCAGGGAGGTACTACCGTCCTGCCAAGTGAGTGTAAAACGAAAGCCTGTAATTGTTTTACATGATGGTAGGATTGCTGGTGTCATTTTTTCTGTCTCATACACATGCAAGGTTTCATGTACGTCTTGCTACTTCTACTTACACTTAGGTCACACTACACATACATGTACAAGCACATATATACACACCCCTCTGGGTTTTCTTGTATTTTCTTTCTAGTTCTTATTCTTGTTTATTTCTTATCTCCATGGGGAAGTGGAACAGAATTCTTCCTCCGTAAGCCATGTGTGTTGTAAGAGGCAACTAAAATGCCGGGAGCAAGGGGCTAGTAACCTCTTCTTCTGTATATATTACTAAATGTAAAAGGAGAAACTTTCGTTTTTCCTTTTGGGCCACCCCGCCTCGGTGGACCACCCCGCCTCGGTGGACCACCCCACCTCGGTGGACCACCCCACCTCGGTGGACCACCCCGCCTCGGTGGACCACCCCGCCTTGGTGGACCACCCCGCCTCGGTGGAATACAGCCGGTGTGTTGAAAGAAAGAAGAATTCTTTTTCTTCACAAGAAAAGAATTCACAGCTGGTATAATAAAGTGCTCAGCTCTTAAGTGGTCGCTACAACCACTTACATGCCCTACAAACATGCAACTTACACTTACCATAGCTACCTCTCTTTTTTTTGTATTATTGCATACTTAAGATTGTACTATTCTTCACCTCGCTACCTCACTTTCTGTACATTTAAAAACATAAAACTCCCACTTAACAACCTACGTCTAGTTGACTCAAGAAATCGTAATGACACGATTGCAAACAAACCATACCCCCGGCCGGGATTGAACCCGCGCTCATAGAGTCATGTTGACGGCAGTGAAGGGACTTGAGCTAGAGTTCGTCACGGCCACGCTAGCTGGAGATTCGTCTGTAAAAACTTGCATTTGTGGTCACAGTGGTGGCCTATGCTAACCTTCCTATGGTGTAGAAATATACCTAGTTGGATGAATCTTATTGTGGCTAGCTGGTCCAGTGACTAACGCAACAGGCTGGAGTTTTGAGACTCTACGAGTGCGGGTTCAGTCCCGGCCGGGGTACGGACTGACTTTACGTGACTGTCCAGCACACAGAACTGTACATTTATTGATAAACTTGTATTCATTTATTTACTTTTCAATATTGGTATTTACTTGGAGTAATTATTTATCTACTTATTCAGTGACAGTAGTTATTTCTTGTCTAATATACATTATAGTGTATTCATATTCGATTTATATTTTAACTTACGATGGGTTCGGCTAGACGCAACCCCGTCGTAAGTCCAAGAGCAACTACACTAAGTCCTAGACTTACAAACACTTTAAGAATCTTCTGTATTGAGTGTAATATCATTATTATATCATTATTGTGTGTTAACGGTGGGTGTTAATGTTAATATTGGGTGTTAATGTTGCAGTTTTATAAACTGTAGTATAAAGTACCCTTCTGGCAAGACAGTGATGGAGTGAATGATGATGAAAGTTTTTCTTTTTCGGGCCACCCTGCCTTGGTGGGAATCGGCCGATGTGTTAATAAAACAAAAAAACTATTATACACAAATCAGGAATATTATGAATATTATACACAATTCAAGTCCCCAAAGTGTTTGTAAATCAAGGTGCAACAATAAAGTAGAAATTCTCTTCTGAAATGCGTAACAAATAACAAAAAAGGCACAATACCGTGACTGGAACGATACACAAATAACCTGCACATAAGAGAGAGAACTTACGACGACGTTTCGGTCCGACTTGGACCATTTACAAAGTCACACTAACCAGAAGTGAAGCAGGACGGCTATATACAGGCAGGAAGAGGTGGTGGTAGTACTTACCATTTCTGACTGAAAAGTGCACAAGCTGCTGGTGTCATAAATGTGAGGATCACACCACACGCCACAGCTTGAAAAGGAGCATTTAACCGGGGATTTTTAATGAAAAAATGCCTTTTTTCCAAATTTTCCATGATCACAGGAAGAAGTGTCATCCCAGGAGCAGCCATGAAGATCCGAGAGAAGACAACTTGTGATATTCCTTTAACGGCAGCTATCTGTGAAGATTTTATTAACAATAATGGAGGGAAATCTACTCTGTCTTATCTGTGTGCCTCTGGCAAAACAGTTATGGTGTGAATGATGGTGAAAGGTTTTCTTTCTCTTTGGGGTTACCCTGTCCATAACTAAATCTTGCACAAAAATTACATATACTTTAATTTGAATAGTGCAAATTGTATTTAATTTTTACGCACGATTTGAAGAGTTTGAAAGGGGAAGATTAGCATTATTTAATTTTGCGCTAAATCAAAATTTCCACTAATTGAACTAGCAGTAATCAAGACCTGGCTATATACCATACTCCCATTCCTACTCTGTCAAAAAATTTTATCTATAAATGGTTTTTGGGACTTGATGAGCTGTTGGAGAGTGAGCAGGGTAATATTTTGAGAAGGGATTTTGGGAAACTGATTAGCCGGACTTGAGTCCTGGAGGTGGAAAGCATAGTGCCTGCACTTTCAGTGTCAATCCCACTGTACTACATCTCTGAAGCCCGGGTCGGTCCTGTAGTAGTACGCCATGAGCTCAGCTCACTCATATAAGTTCTTTCTTTCAACAAACCGGCTGTATCCCACCGAGGCGGGGTGGTCCACCAAGGCGGGGTGGTCCAAAAGGAAAAACGAAAGTTTCTCCTATTAAATTTAGTAATATATACAGGAGAAGGGGTTACTAGCCCCTTGCTCCCGGCATTTTAGTCGCCTCTTACAACATGCATGGCTTACGGAGGAAGAATTCTGTTCCACTTCCCCATGGAGGTAAGAGGAAATAAACAAGAACAAGAACTAGTAAGAAAAATAGAAGAAAACCCAGATGGGTATGTATATATATGCTTGTACATGTATGTGTAGTGTGACCTAAGTGTAAGTAGAAGTAGCAAGACGTACATGAAACCTTGCATATTTATGAGACAGAAAAATGGACACCAGCAATCCTACCATCATGTAAAACAATTACATTATTATTATTATAATTAAGGGGGAAGCGCTAAACCCGGAGGATTATACAGCGCCTGGGGGGGGGATGTGGAAGGCATTCAGGCTTAATTCGGGGAACTGGAGCACAGATCCAATTCCCTAAATCAAGAGCCCCTCACCAACATCAAGGAACCTTCCTTGAGGGGGTAAAAAATTACAGGTTTCCGTTTTACACTCACTTGGCAAGACGGTAGTACCTCCCTGGGCAGTCGCTGTCTATCAACCTACTACCTAGGACTCATATATAAGTTATGAGTGGTAAATCTTGGCCTAGATATGAGAGAATGGGTCTATGCAGTAAGTGTGCATCATTTAAAAAAGTCCTGCAGCAAGCAATGCATAACAGAGAAAAACTGCGACAGTGTTTTGGGTTTAAAACAGTGAATTTGTGGTGTATTCTCTGTCTCTTGGTCTCATTTGATAGAATAGAAAAAAAATTACAGAAATAGAGATGATTTTGATTGGTTTCATGCTTTACTGCCACCTTTGTGGAGTGGGGCTATATCCATTGTTTTTAGTGACTGTGGGATAAATGACCCTTGTGTCTATGATCCCTCAACAATGAATATTTAAGGCACATGAAAGGAGTTTCCTGCAGTTCTTGATGAACACAGAGTCTCACAAGTCTGGGCCTGGGGTTGACTGCATGGACATATCATTTATTGCTGTTTCAAAGTCCTGTGGTGTCAGGGTTATACCATAAATTCATTACGATTATATCATAAATTCATTACAATTTCGTGAGTCATTATATTATTCTGCCTGAAATACACAAAATGTTATTGGCTTTCTTTTGTACTTCTTCTTTCAACACACCGGCCGTATACCACTGAGGCGGGGTGGTCCACCGAGGCGGGGTGGCCCACCGAGGTGGGGTGGTCCACCGAGGCGGGGTGGTCCACCGAGGCGGGGTGGTCCACCGAGGCGGGGTGGTCCACCGAGGCGGGGTGGTCCACCGAGGCGGGGTGGTCCACCGAGGCGGGGTGGTCTACCGAGGCGGGGTGGTCCAAAAGGAAAAACGAAAGTTTCTCCTTTTACATTTAGTAATATATACAGGAGAAGAGGTTAGTAGCCCCTTGCTCCCGGCATTTTAGTCGCCTCTTACAACACGCATGGCTTACGGAGGAAGAATTTGTTTCACTTTCCCATGGAGATAAGAGGAAATAAACAAGAACAAGAACTAGAAAGAAAATAGAAGAAAACCCAAAGAGGTGTGTGTATATATATGCTTGTACATGTATGTGTAGTGTGACCTAAGTGTAAGTAGAAGTAGCAAGACGTACCTGAAATCTTGCATATTTATGAGACAGAATAAAAAGACACCAGCAATCCTACCATCATGTAAAACAATTACAAGCTTCCATTTTACACTCAGTTTTGTACTTAACAATATTTTATTACATGTAAACTACATTATGTATAATGCAAAAAATAAATAAGGCTGTATTAATATGTAAATACAGCATATTGTATGCAACATACAGCTGGATCTCAATTAGTGAGATACTGATTAGGGCGAATTTTGATTTAATGTGAAATTAATTAGTGCTAGTTTTCTCACAAACTTTTCAAATCCTGCACAAAAATTACATACAATTTGAATAGTGCCTATTCAAATAATGTGAGCCCCTCACAGGATTCAATATTCACGTTTAGTGAGCCCAAGCTGTATAGGTAAGCCTGGCTAACTAGTAACATCAACAGAAGATAGGTTAAGGCTCATATGAGACTACTACAACATCTAGCATTAGTGGCTACACAGTCAACAAATATAGTATGACAGCTATATATTACCTCCATGGGGAAGTGGAACAGAATTCTTCCTCCGTAAGCCATGCATGTTGTAAGAGGCGACTAAAATGCCGGGAGCAAGGGTCTAGTAACCCCTTCTCCTGTATATATTACTAAATATAAAAGGAGAAACTTTCGTTTTTCCTTTTGGGCCACCCTGCCTCGGTGGGATACGGCCGGTACGTTGAAAGAAAAGAAGAAGCTATATATTTAGATGGGAGCCAGTATAGGCAGGCCCTGCTTTATAGCACTTCATTTTAAGGTATTTCGCTAATGCAGCAGTTTTCAATTATAGCCATTCTTGATTTATTCAGACTTCCTACAATAAATATATTCACCACTCAATATAAACTAAGAATGGAAGTAATTTACGGTAAGTAATGTGTGTACTGTATATGTATTTTTTAGACCTAGCTATATTCCTCACTTGATATATGATAGTGTAAACATCTTATCAGGCATTTATATGCCTCTGAAAGTGAAAAAAAAAAAGCTGTTTCACTTTACAGCAGTAGCCCAGAACCTAACCTGCTGTATAAGAGGGGCACTCCTATACAGCAGTAGCCCAGAACCTAACCTGCTGTATAAGAGGGGCACTCCTATACAACAGTAGCCCAGAACCTAACCTGCTGTATAAGAGGGGCCCTCCTATACAGCAGTAGTCCAGAACCTAACCTGCTGTATAAGAGGGGCCCTCCTATACAGCAGTAGTCCAGAACCTAACCTGCTGCATAAGAGGGGCACTCCTATACAGCAGTAGCCCAGAACCTAACCTGCTGTATAAGAGGGGCACTCCTATACAGCAGTAGTCCAGAACCTAACCTGCTGTATAAGAGGGGCCCTCCTATATAGCAGTAGTCCAGAACCTAACCTGCTGTATAAGAGGGGCACTCCTATACAGCAGTAGCTCAGAACCTAACCTGCTGTATAAGAGGGGTGCTCCTATACAGCAGTAGCCCAGAACCTAACCTGCTGTATAAGAGGGGCACTCCTATACAGCAGTAGCCCAGAACCTAACCTGCTGTATAAGAGGGGCACTCCTATACAGTAGTAGCCCAGAACCTAACCTGCTGTATAAGAGGGGCACTCCTATACAGCAGTAGCCCAGAACCTAACCTGCTGTATAAGAGGGGCCCTCCTATATAGCAGTAGTCCAGAACCTAACCTGCTGTATAAGAGGGGCACTCCTATACAGCAGTAGCCCAGAACCTAACCTGCTGTATAAGAGGGGTGCTCCTATACAGCAGTAGCCCAGAACCTAACCTGCTGTATAAGAGGGGCACTCCTATACAGCAGTAGCCCAGAACCTAACCTGCTGTATAAGAGGGGCCTGCCTGTAAATTATTCAAGGACCACAATAGAAATAAGTCACTTTGTCTGAATTTCTTGGGTCATTCCGGTGGGTAATTTACACTATGTGTGATAACTGTATTTACGTGTACCTGTGTCTAAATAAACTTACTTATTTACTATATATTAACTGCCACATTTTGCCTTACCACATTTGGACTCACAAAATCATAACACAATTGCAAATTGTCTTGCGAGTTATGATAGCATCTTAGAAGGGACTTGAGCTAGAGTACGGCACAGCCACACTGGTGTGGGATTCATCTGTAAAATAACTGCATTTGTGGTCACAGTGGTGGCCTATGTTAACCTTCTTATGGTGTATAGAAATATATCTAATTGGATAAATCTTATCAGAGGCAGTTGGCCCAGTGGTTAACACACGGGCCTGTGAGTTGTAGCACTCATTTGCCATGGGTTTAAACACCACCCGTTCCCTGGTTTGTTTACCAATTACATGTATTATATTATTGTACTCATGGGGAAGCAGTAAACACATAGCACTCATATAGTGTCTGGGAATGAGACACAATCAGGTTTGATCAGAGGAAAGAGAAGGCAGCTCCAATTCCATGCGGCAAGAGTCCTTAACCAGCACCAAACCCTCCCCAACCCCTTTCCTTCATTGGAGGTTTTAGAGATAAAAAAGGTTTTATCGAGTTAGCTATAAAAATTATCTTAACTCACCCTTGAGTTGGCCAACTCATTACCATCTTCGTCACACACAACAATGCCGTTCACAAGCTCGTTCTGACGCATTAAAGGAATGTTGATACAGTTGGCTGCAGCAACAGCAGCAAAGGGAACATATCTCTGAAAAAAAATGAGGATCGGGTAAAGCCCAGAAGTAAAATAATACAAATGATACAAAGTATGACAATGTATACAGGCGCTCCTTGACCTCGGATAGTTTGACTTACGATATTTCAACTTTACAATGGTGCAAAAATAATTACCTTGGAGATGAAACTTGTATTCATTTACAGCAGGGTGCGCTATAACACACGATTTATAAACAAATATTTACATAACAAATAACTTAATAAAGGCACAATACCGTGACTGCAACAATACACAAATAACCTGCACATGGAAGAGAGGAGCTTACGATGACATTTTGGTCCGACTTGGACCATTTACAAAGTCACACTTTGTAAATGGTCCAAGTCGGACCGAAACATCGTCCTAAGCTCCTCACTTCTATGTGCAGGTTATTTGTCTATTTACATAAACAGTTTTCCCTAAAAACTAAAAATATTAAAAAATTCACAACGATCCTACAGAAGAACTGCCCGAGGACAGTCACCAAAGAGGACTAGGAAGGATGACTTCACTCCTTCCACATCTCAATATACAGTGGACCCCCGACTTACGAACAGCTCCCAACTCGAACAATTATGTAAGAGGGGAATGTATGAGAGTATAGTTTTACCAACGCTCTTATATGGGTGTGAAGCATGGGTGATGAATGTTGCAGCGAGGAGAAGGCTGGAGGCAGTGGAGATGTCATGTCTGAGGGCAATGTGTGGTGTGAATATAATGCAGAGAATTCGTAGTTTGGAAGTTAGGAGGAGGTGCGGGATTACCAAAACTGTTGTCCAGAGGGCTGAGGAAGGGTTGTTGAGGTGGTTCGGACATGTAGAGAGAATGGAGCGAAACAGAATAACTTCAAGAGTGTATCAGTCTGTAGTGGAAGGAAGCGGGGTAGGGGTCGGCCTAGGAAAGGTTAGAGGGAGGGGGTAAAGGAGGTTTTGTGTGCGAGGGGCTTGGACTTCCAGCAGGCATGCGTGAGCGTGTTTGATAGGAGTGAATGGAGACAAATGATTTTTAATACTTGACGTGCTGTTGGAGTGTGAGCAAAGTAACATTTATGAAGGGGTTCAGGGAAACCGGCAGGCCGGACTTGAGTCCTGGAGATGGGAAGTACAGTGCCTGCACTCTGAAGGAGGGGTGTTAATGTTGCAGTTAAAAAACTGTAGTGTAAAGCACCCTTCTGGCAAGACAGTGATGGAGTGAATGATGGTGAAAGTTTTTCTTTTTCGGGCCACCCTGCCTTGGTGGGAATCGGCCAGTGTGATAATAAATAAAAAAATAATTTTTGTAAGTGCTTCTGTAAGTGTATTTTTGGGGGTCTGAAACAGACTAATCTAATTTACAATATTCCTTATGGAAGCAAATTCGTTCGGTAACAGCACCAGAACAGCTTTCTGGAAGGAATTAATATCGTAAGTCAGGGGTCCACTGTAATTCTCTCCTCTGCCACCTGTCCTGCATGCTCAACAACACTAAGCTAGGATAAAGTACAGTGGTCCCTCGATAATCGTAGGGTTCGAGAGTCGTAAATTTTGGAAATCATGGCGATATTTTCATAAAAACATGAATAGTAGTTTGTCCGGGACAAGTACGCACACTGTGAGCCGGGGCGGCCTCCCTACCCAGCCAGTGTGGTATTGTTTACCAGTGAGCGAAGGTCCCCTCACTTGCCCCTACGAAATATTTCATAATATTCCATCCATTTTAGTGCTTGCAAGCACTAAATAAGCTACCATGGCTCCAAAGAAAGCTCCTAGTGCCAAGCCTTTGGTAAAGAAGGTGAGAAATATGATTGAATTTAAGAAAAACATCAATGAACAATATGAAAGTGGCGTAAGTGTGGCCGAACTGGCCAGGATGTATAACAAACCCTATACAACCATATGTTCCATCGTGGCCAAGAAAAAGGAAATCAATGACACTGTTGTTGCAAAGGGGGTAAATATGCTGACAAAAATGAGATCACCAGTACTCGAAGATGTTGAGAAGTTATTATTGGTGTGGATAAACACCACACATTGCCCTCAGACATGACATCTCCACTGCCTCCAGCCTTCTCCTCGCTGCAACATTCATCACCCACGCTTCACACCCATACCAACGCTCTTATATGGGTGTGAAGCGTGGGTGATGAATGTTGCAGCGAGGAGAAGGCTGGAGGCAGTGGAGATGTCATGTCTGAGGGCAATGTGTGGTGTGAATATAATGCAGAGAATTCGTAGTTTGGAAGTTAGGAGGAGGTGCGGGATTACCAAAACTGTTGTCCAGAGGGCTGAGGAAGGGTTGTTGAGGTGGTTCGGACATGTAGAGAGAATGGAGCGAAACAGAATGACTTCAAGAGTGTATCAGTCTGTAGTGGAAGGAAGGCGGGGTAGGGGTCGGCCTAGGAAGGGTTGGAGGGAGGGGGTAAAGGAGGTTTTGTGTGCGAGGGGCTTGGACTTCCAGCAGGCATGCGTGAGCGTGTTTGATAGGAGTGAATGGAGACAAATGGTTTTTAATACTTGACGTGCTGTTGGAGTGTGAGCAAAGTAACATTTATGAAGGGATTCAGGGAAACCGGCAGGCCGGACTTGAGTCCTGGAGATGGGAAGTACAGTGCCTGCACTCTGAAGGAGGGGTGTTAATGTTGCAGTTTAAAAACTGTAGTGTAAAGCACCCTTCTGGCAAGACAGTGATGGAGTGAATGATGGTGAAAGTTTTTCTTTTTCGGGCCACCCTGCCTTGGTGGGAATCGGCCGGTGTGATAATAATAATAATAAAATATATAAACGAGAAACAATTAGCAGGAGATAGTCTTATGACGTCGATTATTTGTGAAAAGGCTAGCAGTTGAAAGACAATCTGGTAAAGAAATTGCCTGCAAATAGTGGTGATGTGAGTGAATTTAAGGCCAGCAAAGGTTGGTTTGAGAGTTTTAAGAACCGTACTGGCATACACAGTGTGGTAAGGCATGGTGAGGCTGCCAGTTCGGACCACAAAGTGGCTGAAAAATATGTGCAGGAATTCAAGGAGTACATAGAGGCTGAAGAACTGAAACCTGAACAAGTGTTCAATTGTGACAAAACAGGCCTCTTTTGGAAGAAAATGCCAAAGAGGACCTTCATTACACAAGAGGACAAGGCAATGCCAGGACACAAGCCTATGAAAGACAGGCTGATGCTAATGTTCTGTGCTAATGCTAGTGGGGATTTCAAAGTGAAGCCATTACTAGTGTACCATTCAGAAAATCCCAGAGTGTTCAGGAAAAACAATGTTATGAAGAGTAAATTGTGTGTGTTTTGGAAATCTAATAGTAAGGCATGGGTCACGAGGGAAATTTTCGTCGAGTGGTTCAATGAAGTGTTTGGCCCTAGTGTGAAGGAGTATCTCCTGGAAAAGAAATTGGATCTCAAGTGCCTCCTAGTAATGGACAATGCATCTGCTCATCCTCCAAATTTGGATGACCTAATTTTCGAGGAGTTTGGGTTCATCACAGTAAAATTCTTGCCCCCCAATACCACTCCTCTCCTCCAGCCCATGGACCAGCAGGTCATTGCAAACTTTAAAAAACTCTACATCAAAGCAATGTTTCAAAGGTGCTTTAATGTGACCTCAGACACTCACTTGACCCTAAGAGATTTTTGGAGAGAACACTTTCAGCATCCTCCATTGCATAACCCTTACAGATACAGCTTGGGAGGGAGTGACTACCAGGACTTTGAACTCTGCTTGGAGAAAATTGTGGCCAGATTGTGTGTCGACAAGAGGGATTTTGAAGGGTTTCGGGCTGACCCTGATGAGCCTATGTCTGTTGTTAAATCTAATGTGGCACTGGGGAGTTCCATGGGGTTGGATGTGAGTTTGGAGGATGTGGAAGAATTGGCGGAAGACCACATCGAAGAGCTCACCACTGAGGAGCTGCAAGAGCTTCAGCAGGAACAGCAACATCTCGCAGCTTAGAATCTTGCTGCAGAGGAGGAGGAAGAGAGATGGAAGAAGGTGCCTTCTTCAGAAATTAAGGAGATTTTTGAAATGGGTAAGATGGAAAGATTTATGGAGAAACATCACCCTGACAAGGCTGTTGCAAGCCATGTTGACAACATGTACAGTGACAAAGTCTTGGCCCATTTTAGGGAAGTTTTAAAGAGAGGACAGGACTCCAGTGACTCTCAAGGTGGTCCTAGTGGCATTAAGAAACAGAGAAGAGAAGTAACCCCAGAAAAGCACTTGGTACCCGAGGTGTTGGTGGAAGGGGATTCCCATTCCAAACAGTAATTCAATCTCTCTCCTCCTCCAGTCTTCCATACACTAAGAAGAATCACCAATAAAGGTAAGTGTTATGCTGTTAATGTTTCATTCATCATTTCCCATTGTATTGTTTATGTACTACATCTATATTTCGTGTAAAAAATTTTTGTTTTAATACTTCTGGGTGTCAGGAACGGATTAATTGTATTTACATTATTTCTTACGGGGAAAATTGATTCGAAAATCGTAATTTCAATAACGGTAACACCTCCAGGAACGGATTAATTACGATAAACGAGGGACTACTGTACTGTACTTTTTATTATTTTTTGTACTAATTTATTTTTTTTATTACAACATTAATGATATTCTTTAATTCCTAAGTTTAAATGTACATTTATGCACTTTTCCTAAAATTTTATATTTTTCCTTATTAAGTTGTTGTATTTTGGGACCTGGAATGTATTACCCCTATAACAAACAAATGTTACCTTCACCTATGGTGAGTTTTGAATCTTACTACACTTGGAGCCTGGCCATGGGCCAGGCTTGTATGGTGTTTGCCTGGTCAACCAGGTTGCTGTTGCTGGTGGCCTACCAACCCACATATCCATCACAGTCTGGTTGATCTGGCACCCAGTGAATCCCCTAAATGGTCACCTTAATCAAATTCACACTATTCAAATTATATGTAATTTCTGCTCACAATTTGAAGAGTTTGGAGTAAAAAATTAGTATTAATTTATTTTGCAATAAGTCAAAATGTCCACTAATCAAGACATGACTACCGGTGCTCCTCACCTTACAAACGGGTTATGTTCCAGTAAACCACTGTAGGTGGAAAATATCCTAAGCTCAATATGAATATGATAAATAAATAAGAAGATAAATATCTGTCCCTAGGTGGATGGTTGGTAGACAGCAGCCGCCCAGGGAGGTACTACCGTCCTGCCAAGTGAGTGTAAAACAAAAGCCTGTAATTGTTTTACATGATGGTAGGATTGCTGGTGTCTTTTCTCTGTCTCACAAACGTGCAAGGTTTCAGGTACATCTTGCTACAGTAGGTCACACTACACTTGCATGTACAAGCATGTACAGTGGACCCCCGGTTTACGATATTATTTCATTCCAGAAGTATGTTCAGGTGCCATTACTGAATGAATTTGGTCCCATAAGGAATATTGTGAATTAGATTAGTCCATTTCAGACCCCCAAACATACACGTACAAACGCACTTACATAAATACACTTACATAATTGGTCGCATTGGGAGTTGATCGTAAAGCGGGGGTCCATTGTATTTACATAACCCTCTGGGTTTTCTTTTGTTTTCTTCCTGGTTCTTGTTCTTGCTTATTTCTGCTCATCTCCATGGGGAAGTGGAACAGAATTCTTCCTATGTAAACCACTTGTGTTGTAAGAGTCAACTAAAATACCAGAAGCAAGGGGCTAGTAACCCTTTCTCCTGTATAAATTACTAAGTTTAAAAAGAACCAGTATTGAAAGATAAATAAAATAAATACTAGTTAGGGAGGTACTACCGTCCTGCCAAGTGAGTGTAAAACGAAAGCCTGTATTTGTTTTACATGATGGTAGGATTGCTGGTGTCCCATTTTCTGTTTCATAAACATGAAAGACTTCAGGTATATCTTGCTACTTCTACTTACACTTAGGTCACACTACACATACATGTACAAGCATATATATACACACACCTCTGGGTTTTCTTCTATTTTCTTTCTAGTTCTTGTTCTTGTTTATTTCCTCTTATCTCCATGGGGAAGTGGAACAGAATTCTTCCTCCGTAAGCCATGCGTGTTGTAAGAGGCGACTAAAATGCCGGGAGCAAGGGGCCAGTAACCCCTTCTCCTGTATATATTACTAAATTTAAAAGGCGAAACTTTTGTTTTTCCTTTTGGACCACCCCGCCTCGGTGGGATACGGCCGGTGTGTTGAAAGATATGTTACATGACTGTTTGGAGTGACATCCAAACTGTCGTGCCTGAGTGCCTCTGCAAAGATAGTGATTATGTGTGAATGATGGTGGAAGTGTTTCTTATTTTGGGTCACTCTGTCTCGGTGGAAGATGGCCAACATGTTGAAAAAAAAATTATCTGTATAAATTACTACATGTGAAATGAGGAAACAGTTTCATTTCTTCTCTTTCAGGTCACCTTGTCTCTGTGGGAGACAGCTGGTGTGTTAAAAATGTAATATCTTTACCTGAAGTAGAGTTGATGCTCTTCCAGCCAAGAAACTCTTCAGTCCTAGAGCAGTTGCAAGAGCTGCACCTGTAGCAGACACGTATGCTACAGCCAACTGAGTTTCACTCAGAGGAGACTTAGCATTACGATTGGTAAAATTAACTAGAGCATTGAAGGATTGATTTGCCCATTGCCAGAATACAACAGCTGAAGTGGACCTGCAAGAATCATTAAACTTAATTTCAAAACAATACTTACCATAAATATTTAGCATATTCTCTAAATATTATTATAATTATTCAGAATATTTTAAAATTAATTTAACTGTAACTAATATTTTTTATATTCTATGAGCTATTGTATTGCCAATGTGTATTCATGCTGTTTATGCTAACTAGGTTAAGCACCATCATGGGCAACTAGTCAAGGATCCGCCCATTAACCCTTAAACTGTCCAAACGTAGATCTACGTTTTTTCAACATTTGAAAGTATGTAAAAAAATGTAGATCTGCGTTTTGTTTTTTTACATTTGAAAACGTGTAAAAAACTGTGGTCTACGTTTTTTTTTTTTTTGTTATATTTGAAAATATGTAAAAAAAACGTAGATCTACTTTTGGAGCACTACGCATGTGAACATAGATCTGTTTGGACAGTTTAAGGGTTAAACTTCATTGTCGTGATCCTTGTAATTCCTAAATTTATTATTTATGAGCCCTTAATGATGTCATAAGCAGTAGGACCCCTGTATCAGCAGGAATGTGTTCCAAGGACCTGCCATGGATACCGAAACCACGGACAGTAGCAAACCCTATATATAAGTTCTATAGATACCTATTATAAAGTTTAATTGATAAATTATGCACAATAAGTGGAGAAGTATCACTTTTTAACTGATGGGAAACACTTCACAGCTTCTCTTAGACATAGACGAACTGCCAGCTTCTCTACTTTTGCACCTGGGGCCCATTATTATGCAAAATTAAGAGGTATTTTTGGGACACAGTAAACCATGGAGAATTGAAACTGTGGATAACAAATCAGTGGATACAGGGATTCTACTGTATATAAGCAATTAATTAGTTATTGCCATTGTAGTCTTAAGTTAAACTTAAGTTTGCCAGAAATGTTCTGCATAGCTAATAGACTTTCTGCATGTACTCCTCAATGTTACCCATCTCTACAAACATTGTATCATGCTAAAATAATTTTTTTTCAACAAAGTGCCCGTATTCTACCAAGGCATGGTGACCTAAAAAGAAAAACGAAAGTTTTTCCATTTATGAAACTTAAGATAATTACCCAGCATGAAGGCAGTAAGTCCCTAGCTTGTATCCATTTATTTACCTTTCAATACTGGTATTTAGTTACAACAACTGTTTATTTACTACTCAGTGACATTAGTTATTTATTTGTCATATCATGTGAGTTTGATTAACCCTTTCAGGGTTGGTGCCGTACTAATACAGCTTGCACACCAGGGTTGGTGCCGTACTAGTACGCATAAATTCTAGCACCTTCAAATCTAGCCAGAGAAAGCTGGTAGGCCTACATATGAAAGAATGGATCTATGTGGTCAGTGTGCGCAGTATAAAAAAAAATCCTGCAGCATACAGTGCATAACGAGAAAAAAAATTCCGACCGTGTTTTTGGTTTAAAACAACGAATTTGCAGCGTATTTTCGTATGCTATATATGGTTGTACAGTGGACCCCCGCATAACGATTACCTCCGAATGCAACAATTATGTAAGTGTATTTATGTAAGTGCGTTTGTACGTGTATGTTTGGGGGTCTGAAATGGACTAATCTACTTCACAATATTTCTTATGGGAACAAATTCGGTCAGTACTGGCACCTGAACATACTTCTGGAGTGAAAAAATATCGTTAACCGGGGGTCCACTGTATTCTAGTTTTCCTGTTCTCATTTTATAGAACTGAAGACATATTATGGAAAATGAGATGATTTTAATTGGTTTCACAATGAAAAGTACCTCGAAACTGAGCTCAAAGTAGCTAACGTTCAAAGGTAAACAAATCACGCCACGTGTCCAATACACATCAACTGGTGAGTGTAATATTCTTTCACAAGTGCCCTGATATTATTTATACCATTTCTATGCCACTTCTACACGAATGCAGTAGTCTGCATAACATAAATCTTCTATTTTTTTGTGAGAATAAAAATTCAAAGTGGAAAGCAAAAGAAATGTGACAGAGGCCTGGGGACATGAGTAATGAACAGAGGAAATGTTATTTTAGTGCCAGAAATGTCTGTCTTGTTTATTTTGGACCCTATTTGGAAATTGGCATTTTTTTAAATTTGTGTGAAATTGGCAAAATTGCCAATTTCTGGACCACTTTACTGGGTAGTGGAAATAGGTAAATGGGTAGTTTCTTGTACTCATTCGATAGAAAAAATGGAGTTCTAGCGAAATAGTTATGATTTTTGTCAGCTGGTACATTGGAATTGGCCGAAAATAGGGCTCAAAGTGGGCGAAATAGCCGATGCATAAACATCATCGAGACCGCTAACTTCACGAGAGCATAACTCCATAAGTTTTCCATCAAATTTCATATTTTTGGTGTCATTATGATCGGGAAAAGATTCTATATCATTTCATAAGAAAAAATATTTTTTTTTTTTAAATTTCCGACCCTGAGAACAAGTTTAGGTGAGGCCCTGCCAACCCTGAAAAGGTTAAACGTAAGCCCATCATAAGTCAAGGTGCACTTATACAGCATTTCCTCACTTAACAATGGAATTCCGTTCCTAAGACCACATCAGTAAACATTATCGTTGCTAAGTGAGGAGTATACTATAATAGTAGTGGGTTTGTGTCAACAATGTTTCATATTGATTTAATGTCACCTTTGCACCATTTACAACATCTCTGGTATATTTTAAATATTGATACAGCAGTGTACTGTGTATTGTAATATTGTAAATTCAAGAATTATGTGGATTAAAGTAAAGGTTGGATGCGAGAAGTGGGTCATAATAAGCGTGTATGCACCTGGAGAAGAGAGGAATGCAGAGGAGAGAGAGAGATTTTGGGAGATGTTAAGTGAATGTATAGGAGCCTTTGAACCAAGTGAGAGAGTAATTGTGGTAGGGGACTTGAATGCTAAAGTAGGAGAAACTTTTAGAGAGGGTGTGGTAGGTAAGTTTGGGGTGCCAGGTGTAAATGATAATGGGAGCCCTTTGATTGAACTTTGTAAGAAAGGGGTTTAGTTATAGGTAATACATATTTTAAGAAAAAGAGGATAAATAAGTATACACGATATGATGTAGGGCGAAATGACAGTAGTTTGTTGGATTATGTATTGGTAGATAAAAGACTGTTGAGTAGACTTCAGGATGTACATGTTTATAGAGGGGCCCACGATATATCAGATCACTTTCTAGTTGTAGCTACACTGAGAGTAAAAGGTAGATGGATACAAGTAGAATAGAAGCATCAGGGAAGAGAGAGGTGAAGGTTTTATAAACTAAAAGAGGAGGCAGTTAGGGTAAGATATAAACAGCTATTGGAGGATAGATGGGCTAATGAGAGCATAGGCAAATGGGGTCGAAGAGGTATGGGGTAGGTTTAAAAATGTAGTGTTAGAGTGTTCAGCAGAAGTTTGTGGTTACAGGAAAGTGGTGCAGGAGGAAGAGGAGCGATTGGTGGAATGATGATGTAAGAGAGTAGTAAGGGAGAAAAAGTTAGCATATGAGAAGTTTTTACAAAGTAGAAGTGATGCAAGGAGGGAAGAGTATATGGAGAAAAAGAGAGAGGTTTAAGAGAGTGGTGAAGCAATGTAAAAAGAGAGCAAATGAGAGAGTGGGTGAGATGTTATCAACAAATTTTGTTGAAAATAAGAAAAAGTTTTGGAGTGAGATTAACAAGTTAAGAAAGCCTAGAGAACAAATGGATTTGTCAGTTAAAAATAGGAGAGGAGAGTTATTAAATGGAGAGATTAGAGGTATTGGGAAGATGGAGGGAATATTTTGAGGAATTGTTAAATGTTGATGAAGATAGGGAAGCTGTGATTTCGTGTATAGGGCAAGGAGGAATAACATCTTGTAGGAGTGAGGAAGAGCCAGTTGTGAGTGTGGGGAAGTTCGTGAGGCAGTAGGTAAAATGAAAGGGGTAAGGCAGCCGGGATTGATGGATAAAGATAGAAATGTTAAAAGCAGTGGGGATATAGTTTTGGAGTGGTTGGTGCAATTGTTTAATAAATGTATGGAAGAGGGTAAGGTACCTAGGGATTGCAGCAAGAGCATGCATAGTTCCTTTGTATAAAGGCAAAGGGGATAAAAGAGAGTGCAAAAATTATAGGGGGATAAGTCTGTTGAGTGTACCTGGTAAAGTGTATGGTAGAGTTTATAATTGAAAGAATTAAGAGTAAGACGGAGAATAGGATAGCAGATGAACAAGGAGGCTTTAGGAAAGGTAGGGGGTGTGTGGACCAGGTGTTTACAGTGAAACATATAAGTGAACAGTATTTAGATAAGGCTAAGAGGTCTTTGTGGCATTTATGGATTTGGAAAAGGCGTATGACAGGGTGGATAGGGGGGCAATGTGGCAGATGTTGCAAGTGTATGGTGTAGGAGGTAGGTTACTGAAAGCAGTGAAGAGTTTTTACGAGGATAGTGAGGCTCAAGTTAGAGTATGTAGGAAAGAGGGAAATTTTTTCCCAGTAAAAGTAGGCCTTAGACAAGGATGTGTGATGTCACCGTGGTTGTTTAATATATTTATAGATGGGGTTGTAAGAGAAGTAAATGCGAGGGTCTTGGCAAGAGGCGGTGGAGTTAAAAGATAAAGAATCACACACAAAGTGGGAGTTGTCACAGCTGCTCTTTGCTGATGACACTGTGCTCTTGGGAGATTCTGAAGAGAAGTTGCAGAGATTGGTGGATGAATTTGGTAGGGTGTGCAAAAGAAGAAAATTAAAGGTGAATACAGGAAAGAGTAAGGTTATGAGGATAACAAAAAGATTAGGTGATGAAAGATTGAATATCAGATTGGAGGGAGAGAGTATGGAGGAGGGTGAACGTATTCAGATATTTGGGAGTGGACGTGTCAGCGGATGGGTCTATGAAAGATGAGGTGAATCATAGAATTGATGAGGGAAAAAGAGTGAGTGGTGCACTTAGGAGTCTGTGGAGACAAAGAACTTTGTCCTTGGAGGCAAAGAGGGGAATGTATGAGAGTATAGTTTTACCAACGCTCTTATATGGGTGTGAAGCGTGGGTGATGAATGTTGCAGCGAGGAGAAGGCTGGAGGCAGTGGAGATGTCATGTCTGAGGCAATGTGTGGTGTGAATATAATGCAGAGAATTCGTAGTTTGGAAGTTAGGAGGAGGTGCGGGATTACCAAAACTGTTGTCCAGAGGGCTGAGGAAGGGTTGTTGAGGTGGTTCGGACATGTAGAGAGAATGGAGCGGAAACAGAATGACTTCAAGAGTGTATCAGTCTGTAGTGGAAGGAAGGCGGGGTAGGGGTCGGCCTAGGAAGGGTTGGAGGGAGGGGGTAAAGGAGGTTTTGTGTGCGAGGGCTTGGACTTCCAGCAGGCATGCGTGAGCGTGTTTGATAGGAGTGAATGGAGACAAATGGTTTTTTAATACTTGACGTGCTGTTGGAGTGTGAGCAAAGTAACATTTATGAAGGGATTCAGGGAAACCGGCAGGCCGGACTTGAGTCCTGGAGATGGGAAGTACAGTGCCTGCACTCTGAAGGAGGGGTGTTAATGTTGCAGTTTAAAAACTGTAGTGTAAAGCACCCTTCTGGCAAGACAGTGATGGAGTGAATGATGGTGAAAGTTTTTCTTTTTCGGGCCACCCTGCCTTGGTGGGAATCGGCCGGTGTGATAATATAAAAAAAAAAAAACAGTGTACTGTGTATTGTAATAAATAGAATAGAGGAAATCAGCTCTTAATAATGTAAGCATAGTACAAACAAGTCAGTCTACCTGGACTACAATCTATCAGACACAATTCAAACCTACAAACAACTTACTTATAAAATGTGAGCATAGCACCAGTAAGAATCATTCCACCAGGAACTTGGAAGCACATGCGACCAATGACATTCTGTTTATCACCGGTGTCTGGGTGGAACGCTGATTCATATGCTCGTTTTGCGTACCAGATCTTCTCTTCAGTGGTACCTGGAGGCTCTTGTCCATGTCTGAAATTTTATCCATATAATTTTTAAATAAGCACACAAAAGTATTAAAGATTAGATAATAAACACAGCCACATGAAGACAATAAAGCACAACATATACAAATGCAGTAAATCCTTGACTTACAAACATATTGGGAATCTCCTGAATTCTGTATGATATTCATAATACAGAAAGTCTTCAACTTACGAAAATGTTGGGGACCTCCTGAATTGTGTATAATAATGATATTATACACAATATTACAAAAAAGTAATTTTTAAAAGAAAGAGAGAGATGTTAAGATTTACTTCTTTTGTAATAAAGAGTTCGGGATACATAAATACACACATTAAAATCAATTAATCTTTAATATATATAAATCAACTATCTTTGGTCTAGAGGTATTTGAACTATGATATAATAATAATATGTACATGTTACTATAATAAATTATAATCAGCATTTTACTAAAATAAAATTAATAAATAACCCTACACAGGGTACAATTCTTGACACTACTGTGTCACTATATATATATATCTCTATGCTAAAATAATAAATTATAAATAACATTTTTATAATAATAAATTACAATCAACTGCCTCTCACACACGAAGTCAGTCACACGACACTGTTCAGTGTACACTACAACCAGGCCATCTCAGTGTCCCACGACACCCTTTTCATCTCAGTGTTCCACTACGGTCCTGTGCATATCTCAGTGTTCCACTCCATCGTACGTCCCTCAGTGTCACACTACGTCCTGGCCCAGTTCAGTGTAACACTCCAACCTTTTCTTCATGTAATGTCCCACTAAAACAGCATCTGACGACTCCGGCCCACAGTTGATCAACGTAGACGGTGAGTCCACAGACATCACCGGTAGTCCAGTAAATCCTCTCCAAAGGCGGTTGACACACCGCTAGCTCGAACACCATGCTGCAAGCTCACTGAATGCGGCCGTCAAGTAACTGAGGCCAACAGACTCAGTGAGCTGCGTGAGCGGTTCTTCTAACGCCAGTAGATAGGTACGATTCGGTGGTCAGGTACCTACTGCATAGACGTGTACCCTGAGGAGTTCAGGTACTTAATGTTGAAGCCAGTAGACGTGTACCCTTCGGTGGTCAGGTACCTACTGCTTAGGTGTGTACAGCGAGGCGCTCAGGTACATAATATTTCTAAAGCCAGTAGACGTGTACCCTTCGGTGGTCAGGTACCTACTGCTTAGGTGTGTACAGCGAGGCGCTCTGGTACATACTGTTACTAAAGCCAGTAGACGTGTACCCTTCGGTGGTCAGGTACCTACTGCTTAGGTGTGTACAGCGAGGCGCTCTGGTACATACTGTTACTAAAGCCAGTAGACGTGTACCCTTCGGTGGTCAGGTACCTACTGCTTAGGTGTGCACCGTGAGGCACTCAGGCTCTTACTGCTCTAAGGCCGGCTCAGCAGCCCCCACATTGGGTTTGATGACGCACCCAGTGGTACTGCCGGCCGGCAGGTTAACTATTTAACCGCTAGTTTGGCAGGGGCCGCAACACACAATAATGATATAATAATGATATACACAATACAGAAGATTCTCAATGTGTCTGTAAGTCAAGTACTTGCTGTAATTTATTTCTTTTCTGCAGTATACAGATAATGTAGTTTACATATACAGTGGACCCCCGCATAACGATTATTTCAATTCAGAAGTCTGTCTGGGTGCCGTTATAGACCGAATTTGTTCCCATAAGAGATATTGTGAAGTAGATTAGTCCGTTTGAGACCCCCAAAAATACACCTACAAAAGCACTTACAAAAATACACTTACATAATTGGTCGCGTTGGGAGCTGATCGTTATGTGGGGGTCCACTGTAATAAAATATTATCAAGCACAAGAGAAAGCCACTAACATGAAGTGAATTTCAGGCAGACTAAGCATATTAACCAAATGTTTTAGTCTCACAATACAGAATGACATTTTTATTCTGCTTGATACTTTTTTTTTTTTTTTTTTTTTTCAACAAGTCGCTCGTCTCCCACCGAGGCAGGGTGACCCAAAAAAAGAAAGAAAATCCCCAAAAAGAAAATACTTTCATCATCATTCAACACTTTCACCTCACTCACACATTATCACTGCTTTTGCAGAGGTGCTCAGAATATAACAGTTTAGAAGCATATACGTATAGAGATACACAACATATCCCTCCAAACTGCCAATATCCCAAACTTTTACACTGTTATTTTGGGAGTATGTTTTAATAATGAAATACAGTACAGGAGGACCCTGTCTGTATGACTTCCAGGTTCTGCATAAATCAAAATCACCAGCAGGAGAAAAAAGAGCATTTTATTTTTCATTTTTGAATGCATCTAAAAGACCTGATAATGTGTTTACACTATCATATACAAAGTGCTTAACCCATAAACGGTCCGGGCAGATCTATGTTGACATGTGTAATGCTCCAAAAGTAGATCTACGTTTTTTTACGTTTTTAAATATATAACAAAAAAAAAAGTAGATCAAAGTTTTTTTACACATTTTCAAATGTAAAAAAAAAAAAAAGATCTACTTTTTTTACATACTTTCAAATGTTGAAAAAACGTATATATACGTTTGGACCGTTTACAGGTTAATAACTAGGCATAAAAAAAAAAAGATAAAAATGCAAAATAAATACACAGTACACACAATACACACCTTAAAATATGGTGCCGGTTGTCCCTATCTTATACTGTATTAAAACAATGGAAAATCGTTAAAAGCACCGAACATAATGAACAATGACTCAATCAAAACCCAACAAAAGTGTACAACACTGCAAAGTGGAGCTGTATATGCTGCTTCCTCCTGTACAGGAATAGTACCTCATTAATATGGCAGGTTAGGTTCCAGACTGCCATGGTAAAGCGAATACGTATTGCTTTAAAGCAAGTCACAGCATTTTTTCACTTGCCAGTACATATAAAAGCCTAAAAGCATGTTTACACTATCACTTATCAAGTACACAATAGCATTAGGCCTTAAAAAAAAAATGTACAAGTGTGTAGAACTAAAAATTACACGAAAACTGCAGAAAACCACTTTAACCCCTCGACTGTTTCAATCGTATACAGTGGACCCCCGCATAATGATGGCATCACATAGCGATTATTCCGCATACCGCTTACTTTAATCGCAAAATTTTTGCCGCGCATACCGATTAAAAACCCGCTCACCGATTTTCGTCCGAGACGCGTCCAATGTGCGCCCTCAGCCAGCCTCACATGTGCCGCCCGTGCCATTGTTTACCAGCCAGCCTCCGCGGTAACATCCAAGCATACACTCGGAATATTTCGTATTATTACAGTGTTTTCGGTGCTGTTTCTGGAAAATAAGTGACCATGGGCCCCAAGAAAGCTTCTAGTGCCAACCCTGTGGTAAAAAGGGTGAGATTAGTATGGAAATTAAGAAAGATTTTGAAGGGTTTGGGGCTAACCCTGAGAAGCCTATGCAGTTGTTGGAATCCATTGTGCCTACTTCAAAAATTAAGGAAATGTGTGCACAGTGGGTTGAACTGCAAACCTTTATGGATGAAAATCACCCTGACACAGCTGTTGCAAGCCGTGCTGGTGACTATTTCAATGACAATTTGTGGCCCATTTTAGACAAATCGTAAAGGAACGGGAGGTACAGAGCTCTATGGACAGATTTGTTGTGCGACAGAGGTCCAGTGACTCTCAAGCTGGTCCTAGTGGCATTAAAAGAAGAAGGGAAGTAACCCCGGAAAAGGACTTGCTACCTCAAGTCCTAATGGAAGGGGATTCCCCTTCTAAACAATAAGTTCGACACTCTCCCCTCCTCCCATCCCATCAATCATCACCAGATCTTCAATAAAAGTAAGTGTCATGTAAGTGTGCATGCCTTTTTCAGTTTGTGTGTATTAAAATTAACATTTCAAGTGGTAAAAAAATTTTTTTTCATACTTTTGGGTGTCTTGCACGGATTAATTTTATTTCCATTATTTCTTATGGGGAAAATTCATTCACATAACGATTATTTCGCATAACAATTACCCCTCTTGCACGGATTAAAATCGTTAACCGGGGGTCCACTGTATATACGTCTTATGAGCCAATGTGTTTGACGTATGTATACTCCAAAATTCTAGCAGCTTCAAATCAAGCGGGAGAAAGCTGGTAGGCCCACATGTGAGAGAATGGGTCTGTGTGGTCAGTGTGCGCAGTATAAAAAAAATCCTGCAGCACGCAGTGAATAATGAAAAAAAAAAAAAGACCGTGTTTTTGGATTAAAATGCCGACTTAGAGGTGTATTTTCGCATAGTATTTATGGTTGTATTCTCGTTTTCTTGGTCTCATTTGATAGAATGAAAGACATATTGGTTTCATGATGAAAAGAACCTTGAAATGGAGTTAAAAGTAGTGGAAATGTTCGATTTTTTACCGATGTTCAAGAGTAAACAAATGATGTTATTGTCCAATAAATGTCCAACTAGCAATTCTAATATGCAGTCATGAATGGGTTGACATTATTTATAGAATTATTACAATATTGCAGTAGTCTGCATAACAGTAAATCTTCTATTTTTTGTGTGAATAAAAATTCAAAATAGAAAGCAAGAGTAATACAAAAGGGACCTGGAGATGTGTCTGATGAACAGAGAAAAATGTTATTTTAATGCCAGGAATGTCTGCATTGTTTATTCTGGACCCTATTTTGAAATTGGCATCTCTTTTAATTTGCATGAAATTGGCCAAATTGCCAATTTCTGACCACTTTATTGGGTAGTTGAAATAAGTAAATGGGTGGTTTCTTGCAATCAATTGATAGAAAAAATACAGTGGACCCCCGCTTAACAATCAGCTCCCAATGCGACCAATTATGTAAGTGTATTTATGTAAGTGCGTTTGTACGTGTATGTTTGGGGGTCTGAAATGGACTAATCTACTTCACAATATTCCTTATGGGAACAAATTCGGTCAGTACTGGCACCTGAACATACTTCTGGAGTGAAAAAATATCATTAACCTGGGGTCCACTGTAGAGTTCTAAAGAAATAGCTATGAGTTTGGTAGACTGGAACAATGGAACTGGCCGAAAATAGGGCTCAAATTGGGCGAAATCGCTGATGAGTAAATATCGCTGAGATCGCTAACTTCGCTAGAGCGTAATTCCGTAAGTTGTCCATCAAATTTCATACTTTTGGTGTCATTACCATCAAGAAAAGATTCTCTATCATTTCATAAGAAAAAAAAAAAATCGAATATTTTGTGACACAGAGACACTTTAGGATCGGGGGTTGAGACAGTCAAAGGGTTAAGAGCAAGACAAGCGCCAAAAATAACAAACAAAAATATAATTGAAAAGTGCCATATCAGCGAAGAACTCCAAAGTGAGCACCATATAAACAAGGTAAGCCACACGGAGACAGACACCCAGGTAAGTAAGTAAGTAAGTTTATTCAGGTAACACAAATACTGTTACATAGACTATCATACATAGCAACATATGTGTAGAGAACCTGGGATAACCCAAAAAAAGTCAGACAGAGTGACTTATTTCCATTGGAGTCCTTTTACCTTGTTATTATAATATAAAGGTTATAATATTTTCTTATTATTCTATAATGAGGATAACATCTTATTATCATACTAAAAAGACTATCTACTACACGAGGGTCATTAAGACTATCTACTACACGAGGGTCATTAAGACTATCTACAATACGAGGGTCATTACTAGGAATAAGGTCAAATTTACACGTATGTTAGCTAAAAAACAGAAAATCATTCCCCTCCCTTTCTGTAGCTACATTCATCAGACACATTTTGGCAGTCTTCTTGAACTGGTTCATGCTATGACTGGCTTTGACATGTGTGGGCAGTGATTAATTGATCTCTATATTTCAACCCCCTTTCAGGACCCTCTTCTGCTGAAGAGGACCCCAGAAAATATACAGATCATTAATCTTCTGAGTTTTTCTCTCCATGTGGGTTATTAATGAGTACATTTTAATATGATGAGCTAATACAGAAATAGAATGACAATTTTGGCTATAATAATTATTGGAGGGAGAAATATAGAGGTGAAAATAAGTTCAGGGTCTACTTAAATGGGTTGTAATTAATATTTTGAACATAAGATTATCTTTTTAACCCATCTGATATCTGCCACTTATGCAGAGTGATCCAAAAAAGAAGAAACACTTCTATCATCACTCACTCCATCAGTCTTGCCAGACAAAGAAGAATAGTGAAGATCAGGAGTTTGAGGTAATCAGTCCCTCAGTTTGGAGTCAACGTAATCAGTCCATGAGTCTTGATAAGACTTCATGTTGGGGGACTGATTAGCTCAGTCTCTTTCTGATCTTAACCATTCTTTTTTGTACTAGACTGATGAAGTCACTGTGTGGTGATGCTTTTCCATGATAAAGACACACAGGCGTTGCACACGTGTCTAATTTATCAACTTATGGGGTTCTCTGAACCAATGATCAACTGTGACACTTACCGGTACCTCTCAAGCAGTTCTTTAACTTCCTCAAGCTCTCTGTCAGTTTTGAAACACAGTCTCCAGTCTGTAATACCAAAGAAATGACGCAGACGTCCGATGAACTGCGACTGATCGTACCGTGGAACATCTAAATTGATTCTAGGTGTATCGTCCATCACTAGTCTGCAGAAGCATAAGGGAATTGTAACAACTTCAGAAGTGTTGAACAGGTAAACCATACCCCCGGCCGGGATTGAACCCGCGGTCATAGAGTCTCAAAACTCCAGCCCGTCGCGTTAGCCACTAGACCAGCTAGCCACAATAAGATTCATCCAACTAGGTATATTTCTACACCATAGGAAGGTTAGCACAGGCACCACTGTGACCACAAATGCAAGTTTTTACAGACGAATCTCCAGCTAGCGTGGCCGTGACAAACTCTAGCTCAAGTCCCTTCACTGCCGTCAACATGACTCAAGAAATCGTAATGACACGATTGCATACAAACCATACCCCTGGCCAGGATTGAACCCGCGGTCATAGAGTCTCAAAACTCCAGCCCGTCATGTTGACGGCAGTGAAGGGACTTGAGCTAGAGTTCGTCACGGCCACGCTAGCTGGAGATTCGTCTGTAAAAACTTGCATTTGTGGTCACAGTGGTGCCTATGCTAACCTTCCTATGGTGTAGAAATATACCTAGTTGGATGAATCTTATTTTGGTAGCTGGTCTAGTGGCTAACGCGACGGGCTGGAGTTTTGAGACTATGACCGCGGGTTCAATCCCGGCTGGGGGTATGGTTTGTTTGCAATCGTGTCATTACGATTTCTTGAACAGGTAGATTGCGCGACTTCAATGTCATTGTAACTGCCTTCCATATAGTACCATTGAACCGCTCCACTTGACCATTGCCTTGAGGGTTGTAGCTTGTTGTTCTGCTGCAGGCAATACCTTTGCTAGCCAAAAACTCCTGAAGTTCGTTACTCATGAACGAGGATCCCCTGTCTGAATGGATATAAGCTGGCATACCAAAAATAGAGAACAACTGTGAAAGACAACTAATAACAGTTGAAGCAGTCATATTTGCACAGGGGAATACAAAGGGAAACCTTGAATATTCATCTATGTTAAGGAAATACCTATTCTGGTTTGTGCTTGGTAGAGGTCCTTTGAAATCTATATTCAGTCTCTCGAAAGGCTGGGTAGATTTTATGAGATGAGTCTTCTCTGGCTGATGAAAGTTTGGCTTGCACTCTGCACATACTCTGCATGCTCTGATCACTTGTTGCACATCTTCCACTGAGTAGGGCATGTTCTTTGATTTGACAAAATGGTACAGGCGTGTAACTCCTGGGTGACACAAAGCCTTGTGGAGCGCTGAGAGCGATTGCAAATCATGACATGCTGCTCCACAGTGGGACCTAGAGAATGCATCAGGTGAGATGTTCTCTTGACCCAGTCGGTACAGAATATCAAAGTCATAACACGATAGTTCCATCCTCCAGCGTAATATCTTGTCATTCTTTATCCTACTTTTGTGCTTCTTGTCGAACATATACATCACGGACGGTTGGTCAGTCCTTATGGTGAAATGTCTACCAGTTAAATAATGCCTCCAGTGGAGAACTGCTTCTATGATGGCCTGGGCTTCCTTTTCTAGAGCAGTGTAACACTTCTCTGATCCTTGAAAAGTTCTCGAAAAGAAGGCTACTGGTCGTCCTGCCTGAGATAAGACTGCAACAATGGTTTACCTGGAGTTTACCTGGAGAGAGTTTCGGGGGTCAACGCCCCCGCGGCCCGGTCTGTGACCAGGCCTCCTGGTGGATCAGCGCCTGATCAACCAGGCTGTTGCTGCTGGCTGCACGCAAACCAACGTACGAGCCACAGCCCGGCTGATCAGGAACTGACTTTAGGTGCTTGTCCAGTGCCAGCTTGAAGACTGCCAGGGGTCTGTTGGTAATCCCCCTTATGTGTGCTGGGAGGCAGTTGAACAGTCTCGGGCCCCTGACACTTATTGTATGGTCTCTTAACGTGCTAGTGACACCCCTGCTTTTCATTGGGGGATGGTGCATCGTCTGCCAAGTCTTTGCTTTCGTAGTGAGTGATTTTCGTGTGCAAGTTCGGTACTAGTCCCTCTAGGATTTTCCAGGTGTATATAATCATGTATCTCTCCCTCCTGCGTTCCAGGGAATACAGGTTTAGAAACCTCAAGCGCTCCCAGTAATTGAGGTGTTTTATCTCCGTTATGCGCGCCGTGAAAGTTCTCTGTACATTTTTCTAGGTCGGCAATTTCACCTGCCTTGAAAGGTGCTGTTAGAGTGCAGCAATATTCCAGCCTAGATAGAACAAGTGACCTGAAGAGTGTCATCATGGGCTTGGCCTCCCTAGTTTTTAAGGTTCTCATTATCCATCCTGTCATTTTTCTAGCAGATGTGATTGATACAATGTTATGGTCCTTGAAGGTGAGATCCTCCGACATAATCACTCCCAGGTCTTTGACGTTGGTGTTTCGCTCTATTTTGTGGCCAGAATTTGTTTTGTACTCTGATGAAGATTTAATTTCCTCATGTTTACCATATCTGAGTAATTGAAATTTCTCATCGTTGAACTTCATATTGTTTTCTGCAGCCCACTGAAAGATTTGGTTGATGTCCGCCTGGAGCCTTGCAGTGTCTGCAATGGAAGACACTGTCATGCAGATTCGGGTGTCATCTGCAAAGGAAGACACGTGCTGTGGCTGACATCCTTGTCTATGTCGGATATGAGGATGAGGAACAAGATGGGAGCTAGTACTGTGCCTTGTGGAACAGAGCTTTTCACCGTAGCTGCCTCGGACTTTACTCTGTTGACGACTACTCTCTGTGTTCTGTTAGTGAGGAAATTATAGATCCATCGACCGACTTTTCCTGTTATTCCTTTAGCGCGCATTTTGTGCGCTATTACGCCATGGTCACACTTGTCGAAGGCTTTTGCAAAGTCTGTATATATTACATCTGCAAATTCTTTTTGTCTTCGAGTGCATTTAGGACCTTGTCGTAGTGATCCAGTAGTTGAGACAGACAGGAGCGACCTGTTCTAAACCCATGTTGCCCTGGGTTGTGTAACTGATGGGTTTCTAGATGGGTGGTGATCTTGCTTCTTAGGACCCTTTCAAAGATTTTTATGATATGGGATGTTAGTGCTATTGGTCTGTAGTTTCTTTGCTGTTGCTTTACTGCCCCCTTTGTGGAGTGGGGCTATGTCTGTTGTTTTTAGTAACTGAGGGACGACCCCCGTGTCCATGTTCCCTCTCCATAGGATGGAAAAGGTCGTGATAGGGGCTTCTTGCAGTTCTTGATGAACACAGAGTTCCATGAGTCTGGCCCTGGGGCAGAGTGCATGGGCATGTCATTTATCGCCTGTTCGAAGTCATTTGGCGTCAGGATAACATCGGATAGGCTTGTGTTAATCAAATTTTGTGGCTCTCTCATAAAAAATTCATTTTGATCTTTGACTCTCAGTCTGGTTAGCGGCTTGCTAAAAAATGGAGTCATATTTGGGGCTTGAGTAGCTCACTCATTTCCTTGCTGTCATCTGTGTAGGACCCATCTTGTTTAAGTAGGGGCCCAATACTGGGCGTTGTTCTCGATTTTGATTTGGCATAGGAGAAGAAATACTTTGGGTTTCTTTCGATTTCATTTATAGCTTTTAGTTCTTCCCGCGATTCCTGACTCCTAAAGGATTCTTTTAGCTTAAGTTCGATGCTTGCTATTTCTCTGACCAGTGTCTCCCTGCGCATTTCAGATATATTGACCTCTTTTAGCCGCTCTGTTATTCTTTTCCGTCGCCTGTAAAGGGAGCGCCTGTCTCTTTCTATTTTACATCTACTCCTCCTTTTTCTTAGAGGAATAAGCCTTGTGCATACATCGAGTGCCAGATGTCAGATGTCAGATGTCAGATGCATCCGTTTCCACTTCGAATGGTAGGGACTCATCAATGGCTTGAACTACTGAGTTTTCAATGTCCTGTTTGAGAGTATGGAAAGCGGCTTCTGCTTCCTTTGTCACAGGAAATGTGGTAGCACTCAATGGGCGGACTTTACTTGAATAGTTGTAGATCCATTGTGAGTAATAAGCGAGACCAAGAGTTCTTCGGAGTGACTTTTTGTCTTGAGGCATTGGAAGTTCCCGTAGAGGTCGTAGTCGTTCAGGATCTGGGAATATTGAACCTCCTTCCACTACATAACCAAGGATGCTAAGCTTTTTAGTTGAAAAAGTGCACTTTTCCTCATTGTAACTGATATTTTTCTTCTTGGCGGCTTCCAAAAACTTATCAAGGTTTGCATTTACGGCACATTGCTTCACGAGCAGGACACTTTCAAATTCAAATTCAAATTCAAAGTTTATTCTCTATTACCAACAGACCCCTGGCAGTCTTCAAGCTGGCACTGGACAAGCACCTAAAGTCAGTTCCTGATCAGCCGGGCTGTGGCTCGTACGTTGGTTTGCGTGCAGCCAGCAGCAACAGCCTGGTTGATCAGGCGCTGATCCACCAGGAGGCCTGGTCACAGACCGGGCCGCGGGGGCGTTGACCCCCGAAACTCTCTCCAGGTAAACTCCAGGTATAAAGATTACAATGTTGAATTTACAGAATTTGGTTGTTGTGTGGTTTACATGTAGTTAAATAATGATTACAGAGTGTACCACTAGAACGCCTAGCATGGCTAGGTATTACAGAGTGTACCACTAGAACGCCAGCAGGCTAGGTTTTTACAGAGTGTACCACTAAACACCTAGCAATGGCTATGCATTACAGAGTGTACCACTAGAATGCCTAGCATGGCTAGGTATTACAGAGTGTACCACTAGAATGCCTAGAAATGGCTAGGTTTTAACAGAGTGTACCACTAGAATGCCTAGCATGGCTGGGTATAACAGAGTGTACCACTAGAATCCTGCATGGCTAGGTATTACAGAGTGTATCACTAGAATGCCTAGCATGGCTAGGAAATTTACAGAGTGTACCACTAGAACGCCTAGCATGCTATGTATTACAGAGTGTACCACTAAACGCCTAGCATGGCTAGGTATAACAGAGTGTACCACTAGAACACCTAGCAGGGCTAGGCATTACAGAGTGTACCACTAGAATGCCTAGCATGGCTGGGTTATTACAGATTGTCCCACTAGAATGCCTACATGGCTGG